GGTGTGACTGTGTGGCCTTTTCTTAAAGCATTCTTCAACATTACTGCGACAAGCGCTTTCTCATTATCATTGTTTTACCACTATTCGCGAATAAAATTATAATTCTTACCATTTCTTGGCAGAAGTTTAATAAATAATTTGGTGTGCCAGAGATATTCTTCATTAAAACGACTTACATTCACAAGAAATTCATCCAGTAACAGTTAATTTTTCTGCACCAAGATCTATCCATATCACGCTACCGGCATTACACTGCAATTTCTGATACGCTGATCAGTTATTGTTTCAGCGTTGTATTTCCTTTTACCTTCTTACTTTTCCATTCATCTCTGGTTAGAATCTTTCCCGTCCATACAATTCCATACAGATATCCCCACTGCGCTGACGGTTTTCGGTTTCATTTGGTATTGGATGGATTCACTAATATAAACCACGCTTTCCATTTATTGTATTTATATTTCAATATATTTTTGTTTTTTATATCATCACTAAAATGCCTGTTATTTTTTTCCTCGCATGACTAGCCCGGCATTTTTGGCCGGCATACACTGCCTTAATGACACCCTTTTCTCGAGACTGCAACTGCAGCACTTTATTGATGCGTCTCAAAGAGCCTCCACTGCGTTTTCGCCTTTCGGTTTCTTTTGGCATTGGGTGGATCCTCTACTATAAATACGCCTAATTCAGTATTCTCAGTGGCCATCTTTGCTCCTGTTCCTTGAAATGGCCGAACAAGAAACATTTCTAGCCGTATTCCTGACCACGATCAGGCGTATCCTTCTGTCTGCATATTGTAGATTTTGTAGTATAATTATGTGCTGATTTAGATCGATTTTGAAGATTTTTTTTTGTAACTGTAGAGTTGGTCGAAGAGAATGGGGCACAGTACGGGTGGCGCTGATCGTACAGCAAAGGGAGCAAACATGTCTACAGTTGGTGTCGACATTGCCGAGTGGACTTTTGAACCAAAGAAAACAAAAGGTTAGAAAATATATGACCATTACGGTGCTTATGCTTATCCATAAGGTTTTATGCAATATCTCTGTCTTTTTGGTATCTACCACATTTTTTTTTTGTATATTCAATGTTCCGGTTTTTCTTCGCTTTGAAGTGCACATCAGCTTGTCAAAGCCTGGCAAAATGAACTCGCACAATTAACCATTTCCTATCAAATTGGCTGAAGCAAGGGTAGGGGAAGTATGCATCTTTTCGGCATGGTTTGTACTTCTGACTAGAAAATTTTTTAAAAATATGGAATTGTTTTCTACCAGTATTTATCATTTCGATATCTTTACTGACTTCTTGGAATAAGCCATTTTAGCACCAAGGCTTTTACTGAAAAAAAAAAGAAACTGTCGCACACGTTTAAGGCGGTGGGTACTGAACGAACATACATAGCTCAAGGCGGAAGGGCTCGGCATAGCCTGCGCTCGGCGTGTGACTACAGCCCAATAATAATACACCCATTGTCCAGGCAGTCTCGATAATTTAAATATTAGTCACCTCACTTACCAAACTTAAATTCCTGGAGCGCTTGAATTCAACTGGTAACTTTTAAAGGTGAACCAACATTTGGTCCCATTACATTTCGCACGTGGGATTTTGGTGGGCAGCGAGAATATTACGCAACACACCAGTACTTCCTGTCGAGACGCTCTCTCTATGTACTTGTTTGGAAGACAACCGATGGTGAAGCAGCACTGCCCGATATTCATCAGTGGCTCGTTAACATACAGGTTTGCATGAATTTTCCATTATCTTTATTAATAATTCAGTCATTTGCTTGGCGGCTATCATGGTGCATGAGACGGACATTTCAAGCATATCTTGAAAATGCTATATTTAAATTTCTATGTAAAGAACTTATGATTCAACCATCTTGTTGGCGAATTCAAAGTCTTTGATACTCGTTTTCGGATTAATTCTTCCTTCGTTGTTGATCGAAGATTTTGATAGATCTTTCGATTGTTCTAGAATTGATTTGCTCCTGAGCATTTCATTTTTTTCTGGAATAACTTGAAGTTCTATCAGTTTGTTACGAACATCGTTGCTGGCTTTTACGGAATGTCCACTTAGATTTTCATAAAGCGACCGACATTTTTTTTCTCGACAAGCAGAAGTGCAGGAAGTAGGCTGAATTTCGAATAAAAGCAACACACTGGAGACCAAATTTCTGTCCTAAACTGGCGGAGTATCTGCTCCACTCTCTGCCGCTAATCATTCGTTTCGAAAAAGCATTCGATAGCAGAAGGACTTAGTGTTGTGTTACGATCTTTTACGAAACAGAATTCGAAGGTTTTGCGGAAACTTAACTTAGCTAAATTTTAGGCTCGTGCGCCAAATTCTCCAGTTGTTATTGTTGGCACACATGTTGATCAAGTTTTTTCTAACCCGGAACGATTTCCAGCTGGTTATCTGGATGAGTTGAACGTGCTTATTCGAGGTTAAATCAGTGAAGATATTCTTTTTTTCTGTTTTGGCATCAAGCAATTTAAAGCTAGTGTTGCTGGTTTACTCGTAGTAGGCCGGAGAATCACTGCTTTTCATGAGGAGGGATTCCAAACTTCCATGACAAAAATCAAAAATCGCGCGTGGGTTGCAAAATTCAGATGCAGAATCAAATGAAGATTGTGTTGTTCTGCGAAAATTTGGCAAAAGAGATGCAAAATTAGGAGGTGTTTGTGTGCGTAAAAAGCCAGAAGCGTTTCTGAAGCACCAAAAATGCAATGTGTAAGTAAGAGAAGAAAAGTGTGTACGTACATTTTTAGCAAATGGGCATGATTTAGCCAAATTAGCCCATTTTTTGCCAGCGGATAATGCTGTTTTAATCCAGGAGCATTAAAGTTTTTGTTTAAAGGTAACTTTTATAGGGTTTTTATGAAAGAATGAAAGGAAAAAGTTAGGTGGTTGGTTTTGATGCCATCAGTCTGTCCTGAATGGCAATTTTTTTACTCCATCTGTTGACAATATAATTAAACTGCGCAGTTTTTTATGTGATAAATTTTACACTAAAAAATACTGAAGGCATGCGCAGCTTGTAGCATGAGAATTTCGTCATTGGCTGTTCTTCGGAATGCGTCAGAGAATCGCGAAATAATTGGCTGTCTTATTGCAACCTTCGATTTGCTGTTGCTTGATTTTTTTGCCATTTTTTGCGACTAAATTTTGCTTTCTAAGAGACCAGTTTGCAGAGCGTTTTGTAATGGTTCCGGATGCGGACAAGAAAGGTTTGCCGCGAGTGGTCGAATCCGTCTATGTCTCTTCGAAAACAAAACAGAATATTCGGGCGCTCTGTAATTTACTGTATCGAACCGCTTACGATATTCGTTCAGTGGGCAGCAAAGAACGACTTCTTGATCAGAAAATCCCGGCGTCCTATTTGGCACTGGAGAAAGTATGCCTGTTGCTCTGTAATTTACAGTGTTTAGTTAATTTTTGCAGTCGCTCGAACAATCGATCTGGTACCTGCATTATCATTGAAGCACGACTGTACGGACTAGGCGTAGGAGTGCTCGCTGTTACTAAGGCACTGTTGACTCTTGCTGAGTTTAGTGTTGCTGAAATTCGGCTGTTTCGTGGCGGGTACATCCGCGTCAGATTTTGGCCAGGATTGGTAACTTTCACCTTTTGCACTTTTTTTTGCTAGATTATTCAAAACTGCATGATTTTTGATAAAAATAGAAACACATTAATTCGGTCCGTTCTTTATTCCACTTGTTTGATTGTGCGTTTTATTTAAAGCCTAATATCGGAAGGCAGTTCAGGCTTATGGGCCTCACATCAGTTGCAGTGAACATTTGCTTTTTTAATAACGAGATCTTCCATATCATTATGAATGGTGGTAATTGAGGAAGCGATCTCACTTATATTTTTTGCATAAAAGGGAGCAAGAAAAGGCCTTTGGATTATTCCGCCACATTCCATGCAAATCATTGGGCCACTTTATATCAGAGTTTTTCCCGCATCCTTGCTGTAAAGTGCTTCCTCGATTAAATTTTCATGATTTTCGGCTTTCGGAAATGTTGCATGTGAACAAGCGCAAATTTCGAAATATTTTTTGAAAAAAAAATTATTTTTCGAGGTAACGGGCGTGGAGGAGGCAACGGTGTTTTTCAAGAGTACAACTACCGTTAAATATTTTGTTGGCGCATAGTCTGTGGGACAGATGACAGGTAATAGATAGGTGGAATGAATACGATGTATTAAAAGCACAGTGTGAATGTTACTCGTCCACTCGTTGATTCACGTTCTTTTAAATATCTGAAATGGCATGAATGCTACATATAAAATATCAAAGTCAATGGAAGAGTTGCTTCCTGCATAAATTGAAGTACAGTCTATGAATTAACAACTATCCCATTAAGCACCACACACTTCAGCAATTTATAAGAGGCAGCAAACTGGTAGATCCAGTGGAGTTTAAATTATGCGAAAAAAGCATCGAAAATTTTTCTCTTACCTGTCAGTTACACTTCTTAACTATGTAGCTTCAGAGAAGCAGTGACCTAATCATTTTCTTCAAGATAGTTGTGGAATTGGGTGATGAACGGCGATCAGCAGGAATAGAGCCGGTGATGACAAACCTCGCATTCCGAAGTGCCGTTCAGGAGAGAATGCTAAAGAATTATGGCCGAGCGTTTCGCGATGACATCGAATTCAATCATGCGTGCTCATTTTTGCATGAAAATGGTTGGCTTCCAGATTCGTCCATATTCAGTTGATTGTTTCGATCTGAGAGAATTATAGTCATTTATGCCTCTTCTGTAATCTCTTCAGTGTTTGTATATATATGTGGATTTGTGTGCTCTCAGGAAACGACCATTGACTTGCCAAAAAACAACTTTTGGATGAGGGTACCATTAATAGCCTTTTCAGCGGTTATTGTTCTTGGCCCTTGTTAATAGTTAAGCTTCTTCCAAGTGCCTTCTCTGAAACGGAGCAAATTATGAAGTGCTTTTTTTTCTAAAACTACTGCAGTATAGCTTCTGTTGATTTTTTCTTTACGTTTTTATCCTCTTTTTATCATATTTCTTTTTTTAAGCAGTAAGGATAAAGGGACAGTCCTGTGCAGTTTACCGTTGGTTGCTAGGTATAAGCCTGTCGTGAACAGAGCCCTTTCTCGAGTATTGTTTTGGGCTGAGAGAGAAACAGACCACTCCTATTCGCCTGCGGACGCAACGTTTTACCACTACGCCGCCTTTAAAGGCAGATACACAGTATGTGTAATCAGGTTCAGCCAGACAGTGCGTCTACTGTGTATCTATCTTTCAAGGCAAAATACATCTTTCTTTTTCTCTCATTTTCTTTAGATGGCTTCTTGGTTGGCTTTTCACGGTTTTTCCCCGACACTCCACTACAGAGATGCCGCAGCCCATCAGTTCGCGCAGAATATCGCTTACCGCTTCTTTAGCCACTTTCCCGATTCGTGACACCATGTCGTGAATGGGGCCTTTTCTCGAAAATT